GAGGGAGGGCAAAGCCTTCCCCACCCCGGGGGGCAGAGGCAGGAGTCTCCGCAGCTGCCCCTCCTGCCCGCAGCTTCCTGCCCAGCCTTCCTCCTCCTCCTCCTCGCACTCCTGCCTCGAGGAAACCACTAGGCCTCCGGCGGACGACGTCCCCTGCTTTCTGCTTCCTCTTTCCCACACTCGGGGACGCGGCTCCAGGCCCGGCCCCGGCGTCCACACCGCGGCCACCTCGGCCTCCATGTCCCCGTCTGTGACGCAGGCACGGTGCCGCCGTCCACCCTGCAGGCTCGCGGTGGGCGGGCGTCTGGTGGGCTGCTCCCGCGGGGCCGGCCCCTGCGAGCTGCTGGGCGCCCACCCAGGCGTCCACGGGCACCCACTGCCCACGTGCCCCGGCCTGCTCCTGGGCTGACCCCGGGCACGGGCGGGGAGCAGAGGGGGCCCTTGGCCTGAGTCACCTCTCAGCACAAACCCAGTCCCGCAGGCTGAACTCTGCGCTCGAGGGGGTGGGGCCGGGCGCCCCTCACTCATCCAGTCGGCACCCAGCGCATCTCAGCCTCGCCCACGTGACTCCACCCCCTCCCCCACAGGTGCTGTGACCAGCCCACTTTAGGGAGGGGGACAGCTGGGGCCCAGCGTGCTCAAGGTGCTTGTCCTAGGGGGCCCGGCCCGGGAGCAGCAGAGCGGGCAGCACTCGGAACCTCAGTGCCCGGCCCACCCCAACCACCCCGGGGCAGCAGGACGGCCACTCCCCCCAGAGCACTTCTCCCTGGGGGCACGTGAGGCCAGGAGGGGGCGGCGGGGGCTCAGGGCTGCGGGCTGAGTCCCTTGAGGTGGCCCCCTCCTCCTTCCTCTCCCTCTGCTCTGGGCCTCAGGGTCCCCCCAGGTAGATGGTGGCGTCGGACGAGATGGCCCGGGGACCCGCCAGCCCGCTGCTAAGCCCCCCGAAGACCCGCTCGGCCCCAGGTCCGGCCCAGCCGCCCGGGCTCCGGCCCCACGTCGGCCACGAGAGAGCTGGACAAGTCACCTGCCCTCTCGGCGCCAGTTCGCTGGCCGGCGGAGTGGGCCCCCCCCCCAGCGGAGGCCCCCCACGGGGCTGCAGGGAGGGTTAAACGGAGCCAGGTCGGCAGGGTGCCGGGCGGAGAGCAGGTGCCTGGTTGACGCTGGCTACAGAGGCCGGTTCGGCCGCAGCTAGAACTCCGGCCTCACCCCTGTGCAAGTGAGGGAAACTGAGGCTCGGCCCCCAGGCCCAATGGGGCTCGCAAGGCTCTGAGACCATCTCAGACAGCCCGGAGGCCTGGGAAGACGGGGAAACTGAGGCCCAGAAGAGCCAAGGGCTGGCCCAAAGGCGGTGGTCAGCTGGTTTGCTCCACATGGACCCCCAGCGCCTGGGAGTCCCTGCCCCAAGGCCAGCCGCCGCCCTTCGGCCCAGTGGCCGCCTCTGTCACCCTCCCCGCCGCCGGCCCCCCACGGCTCCCTGGGCAGAGCTCGGGCAGGGCCAGGCGCTTCTGTAAGAGGAACCAGGAATCTGGACGTCCGTGTGAGCTCTCTCCACTTTGTGTTTTTGAACACTGGCAACCAATCTGACTTTCTTATTTTTTCTTTCAGCTGTCGGGCAGGGTGGCGCCTCACAGGCCTGGCCGGGCTGGCTCCCTGCACCCTCCGACGCAAGCTGGGGGTCGGGAGCGGGGCCTCTTGGGGCAGGGGGATCGGAGGGGAGGCGGGCGCCACAGGGAGAGTGGCCACCGGAGGGTCTTCTAGGAGCGGCGTGGTGCCACACTCTGCCGGGCCGCCCCGAGGCCAGGAGTGCCGGGCCACCCCCGCACCTGTCTCAGCCCCTCTGGGCCCCACCCAGCCCAGCCCCAGCCCTTGGCCCACCCCGTCCCTCCCTGCCCCCGGCCACCCCAGCCCCGGCTGTCTGGCTGTCCCTCAGACTCCTGGGCTGGGACTCTCTCACCAGCTCAGGGCGCCCGGAGAACAGGAGCCTGGACGGGACCCAGAGCAACCCTGGAGAGAGACCTGCGCTCGCAGCCCCAGGGTCGTCGCCTTAGCGCCCGCAGCGCCCACACGGAGCCTCCCCTTCAGTCAGGCGCTCAGCAGATGCGCCGCCCGGCCACCACATGAGCCGCACGATGCGGGCGCTGTGAATGGGCCCCTTGTACGGAGGAGGAAACTGAGGCTCAGAAGACCGGGGTCGCTGGCCTAAGGCCCCCAGGCCGGGGAAGAACGAGCTCATTATCCCCGCTCGGCCCGCCGACTCCTGACACCTGGTTCGCCCAGACGGTTGTTTGCAGCAGCAGCTTCTGCAGTGGAGCTGCGTGGGGGTGGGGGTGGGGGTGGGGGTGGGGGTGGGGAGGCGTGCTTGGCCGCTGGTCGCCTCTCCGGCCGTCATGGACCCCGACAGCGACGAGAAGCCCGAGTTTCTGTCTGTGCTTGTCTTTCCCCGACAGCCCCCCGCTGTGTCTGGAGCGAAATGCAAACCCCGGACGGGAGCCTCTGCCCCCACACAGTCCCCATCTTCCCTCTGCGCCCCCCACCTCCCCACCCCCCACACACACCGGCCCCGTGTGTCATTCTTTCTTCAAAACACGCGAAACCCTCTCCCATCTCGGGGCTCTGCCGCTGCTGCTCCCTCCGCCTGGGACGCCCCGAGGGTCTGGCTTAGCTCGGGGTGAAGCTCTCAGTCCAAAGTCACCTTCTCAGGACTCACCACGAAACCTCGGTGACTACCGTGCAGTTGGCCCAAGGACAGGCACGCGGGCCGAGGGGGCCGGCAGGCCCAGAGCGCTCAGATGGACACTGGCCTTGCGGGGTGGCGGGGAGGGGAGCGGCACCTCCTCACACAGCGCTGCAGCGTGGGGAAGCGAGACCCGCACCTCCCACCGCACAGGGAAGCGGATTCCAGGCGGACCCTCGCCCAAAACGGGGGCGCCCAGGCCTCAGAGCTTCCGGGCGGAAAGCGAGAACGAGCCTCATGACCCAGGCGGGCCACGGTCTCGTCGACGGGACATGGGAAGCACGAACCACGAGGGGCCGCCGCTGGTAAATGGGGCCCCGTCAAAATAAGGCCTTCCGCCCGCCCCGCGAGGAGGCTCCGCTCCCAAGGCGCAGAAAGGGAGCCCACGTGCGGAGCCGGAGGTGGGACTTACCGTGCAAAGCAAGTGCGTCCGGAACACACAACCACCCTCACGGACCGGTGAGGAGGTGGAACACGCAACAAAGCCCACGCGCGTTGCGCGAGAGTCCGTCCTAATGTCCCACAGACGTTTGGGAAGGTGCCTGACCTCCCGAGCTGTCAGGGAAATGCAAACTAAAGGCGCGGCGAGACCCGGAGCCCGCCCCCCGGAAGGGCTGGACTGAAAACCCACGCACGCAGTCGCGCGGCCACTTCGGGAAAGTCTAGACGTTTCTTACGAAGTTAGCCCCGCCCTCCCCGCGTGGGCCTGCAGGCCCGCTCCGCGGCCCGACCCCGGAGAAGTGGCAGCGCCTGTCCCCCAGGGCCTCCGGGCACCGCTCGCGGCGGCCTGGTTCGGCGGAGCCCCACGGTGGGAACGGCCCGCCGCCCGCCGGCGGTGAGTGGGTGAACGCACCATAAACTCACGGTGCGCCCACAGCGCAGCCCTGCCCGGCGGCGAAGAGAAACGGCCTGCCCACACACGCGGGAACGCGCAGGACCCCCAGAACCCGGGGCCGGGCAAAAGCAGCCGCACAGAAAAAGCCACGCGCCACGTGACTGCACGTACATGAGGCTCAAGGGCAGAGAGGCCTGTCGTCCGTGGGGTGGCACCCAGTGTCAGTGGGGGTCACTGGTGAAGGGAGCCACACACAACTCGCGTGCACACACACTCACGGAGCTTCAGGCGCACGCCCCACACTCGGGTGTGTGCACCCGACGCCGCAGTGAAGTCAGAGGGACGGTCTCGTCACACGAGAGGACGCGTCGACAACACCCCACCCCACTCACGGTTCGGGCCCCGAGGTTCCCGCTGGGCTGCCCGCGGCTCTGCCTCTGGAACACGGCACGCACTTGTAACTCCTCCACACGAGTGCACACGCCGGCCTCCTCCCGCAGCCCCGCCCCACCCGGTCCCCGGTCCCTAGCACGCGCCTGGGACGCCGCGGCAGGCGCTCAATAAGGACCTGCTGAACAGATGAACGTGTAACTGTCTCCCGGCCCAGCCTGCGCGCCCTCAGGGCTGGACCGCGTGTGCTCGGCTCACCCCCTAGAGCACAGAATTGGGCCACGGAGAGAGGCATTAACGGAATTAACGGTCTCACCGACCCGACACACCTGGGTCGGGGTGGAACAGGTGTGTGGAGCAGCGGCCCTTCAGTCTCACTACGCAGCTGGGATGGAATTAGTTGCAACAGGGAAAGACCAAACTGTTAAAACTGGAAGGAGAATAAGCCATCCACAACACCTGGGGGCGTGAGTGTGCACGGGCGAAGGAATGCCACGGCGGTTCCGCGCCCTGGAAAACAGCCTCCTGCATGGCGAGGTCAGTCTGGGTCAGGGTTTCCCAGCACCTCGGCCTCACCAACCTGCCATGGCCCAGGTGACTCAGGGTGTCCCTGGAGAGTCTACAGAATCCCCGACGGGCGCGCCTCAACACTGGGGAGGTCGCCACAAACAAGAAAAAGAAAGACAGGACCCGTCACAGCCACACGACTAGATCCAATCCCAGAGCAGAAACGGGACCTTGGGGAAAACTGGCAAAATCCAGAGTGACCGCCAAGTTCAGTTAATAGTAGTGACCAGGGTGGGCGCCTGTGGCGAACACACAGTGTAGCTGCATCAGGCGAAGCTGGGCGCCGTGGGCAGGGGAACTCGGCACTGTCTCAGCGACTTTTCCGTGCATCAGAGGGTTGTCAAAGAGAACGTTCGGCTTTGGAAAGGTACACTTCCCTCTGGGCACTTGGCGGCCGCCTGCTGGAAGTCCGAGGTCCCACCCCGTCTGCTACCGCCCGCGCCCGCGCCGAGCGCAGGCCGCCGCGGTGCTTACCTTGGGCGGGTCGAAGAGCTCCAGCACGCGGTCCGCGCCGCCCTCCGGGGCTCGGGCGCGCCGCAGGGCCAGCCGCCCGCGCTGCCAGCGCGGCCCGCTGTCCATGGAGGCCTCGTCGGCCAGGCTGTAGCGCAGTGTCGCCTCCTTGAGGGCCTCGGGCGGCGGTTCCCGGGCCAGGCTCCAGGGCAGGCGCTTCCTGGCCAGGCCGGGTTTGGGCCGGGCCTCCCCCGCGGCTCCGGCCGCCGCCGGCACCTCCCCGGCCGAGCGGCGGCGGATGATGTGGCGGAGGCTGTGGCGCAGGTGCTGGAGGGCACAGGGCGCGGACGGCCGCGGCGGGGCCAGCTCCTCCGAGCTGCGGGCCTTGGGCAGGGCAGGGGCGGCGGGGCCGGGGCCCGCCTCGGCGCGGGGGGCCTCGGCCTTGGCCGGGGGCCCGCGGCCCGCCTCCCGGTAGTCGCGAGCCGGCGGCCCGGGCGCCCGGCCCTGGCGCACCTCGCGGCAGAAGTAGAGCTGGAAGAGGTCGGTGAACTGCAGCGACACGAGCTCGGCGCGCAGCGGCGCGTGCTGCGGGTGCTCGCGCACGAAGAGCCAGTACTGCCGGGCCAGCTCTCGCGCCGTGGCCACCGCGTGCAGCTCGCAGAACTCGCTCCAGCCCCGTGGGGCCGGGGCCGGGGCCGCGTTCGTGGGTGAGGAGGCGGAGGGCGTGGAGGAAGCCGCGGAGGGCTGCAGGGCGGGCCCGTTCATGGCGGAGATCCAGGTGGCGCGGCCGGGCTGAAAAACAGGTGGGAACAGGCAGCAGGGATGAGCGCACAGGTGAGAACCGACCTCTTAAACCCGCCGCCGCCGGGGCCTCGTCATTCACCAAGCCCAGCGCCAGCAATCCAAGACCCCCCGCAACGTGTGCCGGCGGCGGAGATGCAGCGAAACGGGCGCTTCGGCGCCAAGCTGCGGCTACCGTTAGGCGGCACCGCCGTTTCGGAGGGCAGTGTGGCCGGCTCCCAGTTCCGGGCCCAGTCATTCCACTTTTAAGTATTCAAGGGAAATCTCAGGGCAACCCCTTGCTAGACGTTTCCCGACCCAAGATTTAAAAGGGGGGAAAAGGAGGTACAGCTGTTAAGCAAAAATTTAAACTCCCGTGGCTGAAAGTCTTTTTTTAAAAGAAAGGGGTTTATTAGGCCATTGCCAGGCCAAACGACAAAAGGGGAGAAAGAAGAAGCCGTGGACGGCTGGTCCTGGGGCATGGTTAGGGGGGAAGGACCACCGGGGCCTGGTCCTGGAGGTCCCCAGACGTTTTTATACAAGAAGGGTGGGGGCGGGTGGCGGGTGGGTTAAGCCTGGTCTGAAAGGATTTACACCAGCCACAGACAAAGCTGATGCAAACACCCCCCACCACACACACACACACACACACACACACACACACACACTAGAAACTTCGTGTGTAAATTAGGAGCCGAGGCTCCTGGGGCTCGATAATCCCTTGGAAATCCACCCTCAGTGGCCGATCCAAGGAAGCGAGAGCAGACCTTGGCCGTCGCCGGCCCGCAGAGGTGCTACTCCACCCCTCTCGCTCTCAGCCTGTTGCTGTCACTTGGGACACCTCAGACTCTTGTCTTGCCACAGCCCCGTTGCCCTTCAGCCGGAGCCCGTGGCGCACCTGCAGGCTGGGATCTCCTGCAGCAGCGGGGGAGGATGTGGAGACCGGTGCCGCCACCTCGGTGAGATCTCCAGGGGACACCACGAAGCAAACAAAGCAAACCACAGAGCGACGCAGGCGGCGCGGCCCTGCTGACACACGCACAGAACCCCACCGCCGGCGTTCGTGGGCACGCGGATGCGCGTGCGTGGTGGGCGAGGACGGCGTGGCTGGAGCAAACCCACCCGGGGAACCGTGGCGACCTCTGTGGCCGGGGGACCAGGCCTGGGGTGCAGGCGACAAGTAACCCAGGACGACCACGGCGACTCTTCACCAGAAGGTGTGGTTGACAACACAGAGCCCGTCGCTGCGGCTCCCCGCGTCCCGTGGTTTCTGTCTCCTCGCAAGGATTTTCCTGCAGGGTGTGTCCAGCTCTTCCCCAGCCACCTGCCAATCACCCAGTCTCCCTTCCGAAGTCTAAAACCCCTCCAGCCCTTCTCCTTCATCCGGAGCGTCTCAGACGCCCGGGGTGGCCTGTCTCTGGAACTTCTGGTCTATGTGAATGCCCCATGCACAGATATTCAAACTTGACGTTTCTCCTCTTTGAAAACAAAACCCAGAAACACGGAGCCGGGAGGCTGAGTTCAGAGCCCAGCGCCAGCACTTACTAGTTGTGTGACCTTGGGTGAGTTGTTCAGCTTCTCCCTGCCTCAGTGTCCCCGTGTGTACAGTGGGGGCCATGACTGTGCCTGCCGCACTGGAGCATTATGGGGACTGAGTTAATTAATGTAAAGGCCTCGGAGACTAGGAAAAGCACAGTAAGGGTTGGCTGTTTTTATTGTTATCTGAATGTTACAAGGGCCATGTATTGCTGCCAATAAACACAAAGCCACAAATGGAGAGGGACAGACTGCCTAGGCTCAGGGAAGGTGCAAAGGTATTTCCTGCTCAGCCGACCTTTGCCCGCCCGTCGGGGCTGGGGCTGGGGCTCGGGCTCCCCTCTGTTCCGCCCCTCAGGTCCCTCCTCGCGCCCATCTGAGGGGCGGAAGCCCCCCGCCCTCTGCTGTCCGCGGTGCTGAACCCCAGGGCACCACCAGTACTGGCCTCCTTCCAGCTGGGCCCGGCTGCGCTCCAGCCCCCACTGGGGGACACAGAATCATGGCTGCTTATTTGCCTGCCCCCCAAAATATTACTGAGGGCCTACTACGTGCCAGACACTGTGCCAGGCCCTGGGGATGCAGCAGTGCCGGAGACCCAGACAGAAATGCTCCCTCTCCTGAGGCTGCATCTCACTCACGTGCACACACACACACACACACACACACACGGGCTGGGTGGCCCCCGATACCCAACTGGACCTCTTTGAACCCAGGGCTCCTCTCCTGTCAAACAGGGAGCAGTGTGGTATCGGCCTCATATGACAGCTGCAAGGGGTCCTTAAAAAGGGGGCTCGGATGGAGACCTGAGCCCCAAAACTGGGGTTCTGTCACCCCACCATGTCCAGACCATGGTGGTGTCACCGCCGCTGGTCGAAGAAGGACACCCAAGACAGCCCAGGGCTGAGCACCCACACACATTAGGCTCTTTGCGCAGAGTAGGCAGTCAGTAAAAGCTGCCAGACAGAGGGAAGGGCGAGGAGCCACACATGCCCTTGACCGTCACACCGTGAGAACACGCACCCCGTCGCTGAGGGGAAGGCTTGCGCCTGCACGTGGGAGTGTCCTGGGCCCCGGCCAACCCTGCAGCTTGCCTTGACACAGGCGCGGCAGGCGCTGTCCTCTCAGGTTGGGGACTAGAGCGCTCAGATGCCGGACCCAGGCCCCCACTGGCCCCCACCGCCTCTGGGCGGTCACTGCACCGGCATCCTGCAGCCCCGCCTGCCCGCGGCCTGCTCGGGCCTCGCAGGCGAGCAGCCCCCCTGAACTCGCCAACCCGCACAGCGAGACACTGTCGTTCGGCATCTACGACTGTGTGATCGGCGCCTGTCCTCCCACCAAACCGAGCTCCACGAGGCCAGGGGCTCCCCGCTCTGCGGCGGCTCCGGCACCGAGCAGGAGCTCCCGGCACACAGCCGGAGCTCAGCAAGTGCCTGTTGAGTGAACGAGTGCAGGAGTCCGGCTGGATCTGCAGCCTCTCACTCTTCCGGCAGACAATGGGCCAGCCCACCTCCTGTGCACCCTGGGCCTCTGCCCGCCTGCCTGCCCCTTTGCCTGAACACCTGTCCCTGGCCGCCCCTGCGTGTCAGTCTCGAAGTCCGCCTGCGGGGCCAAACCCTAGCAGGAGCCTTCTCGGCACAGCTGTGCCCACTCCGGGCTCCGCCCCTGTGCAGGCGATAGATGGCCCCCTCCTCACCATGGCCCACGTTCCAGCTCCTCCCCAAGAGTGACGTGTCCTGAGCACTCACTGCATCGCACACACTTTTCTGACTGCCCTGGCAAAACAAGGACCCCCCCCCGCCAAGCCTTGTGACAGCATTCAGAGGTAGGGCCGACAACGGCTCCTGTTTTATAGCTGGAGAAACTGAGGCACAGAGAGGTGCCGCAGCTCAGGATGGACGGCAGGAGGTACCCCCGAAATGCCCGTGGGTGCCGAGTGAACCCCACAAAGAAGACTCTTCCCAGTGAGTGTCTGTGGAATGGATGAGTGTGACCCAGGCAGGAGTATAAAGGTCTCATTCAGCTCCTGGTCCCCAGCGCACCAGGTGGTCAGGGAAATAGCCACAGGGTGAAAATAAGGAAACAAAACAGGCGATGCTTGTTCGTGCTGTGTGCCCTGCTCCGCGGCAGACGCATTATTCTCTCATTCCCCGTCGGAGGGGGAGTCCCCGAGTTATGCCCAACTTACAGCTGAGAAAACCGAGGTGCTGGAGGAGTGGCTCTCCCCGGCTCACGGGGCCGGCGAGGGGCAGGGCTGGGATTAGAACCCAGCTCGCTCTCAGTACACATGAGCCCTGCTGCCTACCATTTACCTCCCTCCACCAGGGCTGTGCGGCCAGCGGACTGGGAGGCCCTCCCGTCCCTGCCCGCTCCCCAGGGCCCGGCCACAGCAGGAACTCAGAAATGCCAGCTGTATGAATTAATGAACTCTCGGGGTCCAGATGGGCTGCAAATGGCGCACTCCAGAGCCACGCCGCTGACCCAGGAGGGCCGACAGAAAAGGCAGTGAGTGAGTGGGGGTCTGAGGAACCCGCCGAGACCTCTGCCCCCACCCAGACGACCTCTCTGTGGTGGAACTGCCAACCAAACCTGGGGTCACCTCCTTGCCAGGTGCTGCAGAAGAGGGGCTTCCCCCCGAGCCTCAGTGTCTCCACCTGTGAAATGGGCTGGTGCTCTCTGGGCATCTGCTAGGAGTATTCTAGGGACTGATGTCTGCAGGGTGCTTGGCGCAGGGCTCCAGAAACGCGTGGCCGTGGCCACTTTATTACGATTATTGTTAGGGAGGAGGAGGGCCGGCTCCCGAGGAGCCCAGGCCCGCCAGCCAGGGGAAACCACGGGGAGGGTCTGGCCTGGTGGGCAGGGCGGGGGCATCACGGGAACCGAACAAAAGGCCTTCTCAGGGGAGAGGCGGCTGCTTCGGGCAGGAAATGGCCAGCTGTGGCCCAGAGCAGGGAGGCAGCGGTGCCAGGAGGCTTCTGGCGCTGTGGGCAGCCAGGCCATGGGAAGCCAGTCTCCATCTTGCGCCTCGGCTCAGGTGGCGGCTGTTTATTGAGCACTTACTAGGTGCCAAGCCAGGAGGAGGGGAAGTTGATCAGATCATGCCAACCCTGGGGTCAGGGGCTAAAAAGCTCTGGACAGAAAGCAATGATTAATCACCTGGGGGTTCCCAGGAGCCCCCAGGCTGAGGCGGTGGAGCAGGAGTTGGAGGGACGTTTGGGCACCTCGGTCCCCCGACCGCAGCACCCAGGAACCTGGGCAGCCAGTGGGGCGAACAGCTTTCCACCCAGAGGGGTCTGCACGCCCAGAGGTCCTCCACCTGCTCAGTCTGGCCTCTGGGACAGGGACTCCCCAGCTGTCGGGGAGGGCTCCGGGACTCCCCAGTGCCACAGCAGGGTGAGGATGAGGAGGATGTGATGCCAGAAGATCCTCTCCTGGCGCCCGGCCCCCAAGCCCCCACCGCAAACACAAGGAGATGGAGA